ATCTGAGCGGTGAATTAGTCGAACATTTGGGGTATTCGGGACCTCTGTAGATGACCTTGGGTGTTTGGGTGCCTGTGCATGACTGTGAGCAGCACAGGGAGAATCGACTGGACAGCTCCAGGCTGCGGAGAGCAGGACTGGAGGCAACGCAGACCTTCAGCTCTGCTGTGCATCCTCATACTCAGCCTGCTTAGAGCAGCTGGTCGAAAGCATTGCAACCACTGCCAATGGGAGTTGTGGCTATTTGCTGCCAGCAGATTTCCTGTTTTGCTCAGGGAGGCTTCCTTGCTAGAGAAGAAGAGCAAAGGCGACGGTGTTAGAGGGACACGGTGTTAGAGGGACACTGGTGTTAGAGGGACACAGGGATTGTTGGCAGACCGGGCTCACGCTGGCTGCAGAGAGCTGTTCAGGAAACGCTGTCTTTTGGCTCAAGGCTTTGGAGCCTATTTAAGACCAAAGCAAGATGGGTCCTTTGCGAGGATGCTTGGGATGCAGGATTTGCGTGTTTCACATAACAGTTCCTCTGACAGACATAATTTAGCTGGAGATGCCTAAGACCTTGTCATCTTGTCCTTAAATAACAGGAACACTGTCTGCTTTCATTGCTTTATGGCCATTTGTGTTTTCATAGGGCAGAAACTGGGATCAGCCCTAAGGATATTTTCAATTTTGTTGGAAACAGGAGTCTGTTCTGTTAAAAAAAAAAAAAAAAAAAAAAAAAAAAAGAAACTTTATGCTCTTATTTGTAATAGGAAAAGCCACTATGGTAGGGAGAAGGGAGCAGGCCACTTGCTTTCCCCCAGTGCTTTCACTGCATCTCAAGAGCCGTACCATGTCCTTGGGTGCTGCAGCCCTACCATGGGCACAGAGCTGGTGGGACTGTGTCAGCCCTTGCAGGTCTGCTGGCACTTGAGGTTCAGCAGGGCATCTATATTGCACCTGTAAATCCAATCATCCTTTAAACCCACCTTGGTCTGAGTACAAAACTACTTCCCAGAGGTTCCTGGTTTACAGGAACATGCAGTCTGAAAGCAAACGTCCCTCACCCACAGGACACAGCAAGTTGAACTCAACTGCCTGGCCTCTGCAGAGAAAACAGGAAAAGAATTAGAAGGTTTTATATTTCCGACCCTGGATCTGTCACTTGCCACAGCAGACAGAAGAGTAGCCCTCATGGTATTTTGCACGGCACGCTCTAATTCCCCCTCTAAGCAGAGGGCTTGAGTCATTGCTTTTTAATAAGACTGCCTCCCCACGGGCGGAAGCTGCAGCGATCAATGCGGCTTACTCAGTTCTCGAAAAGGTCATTAAAAGACCATAGATATAAATTTAAAAGAGTGTTTGTTCACATCCTTAATGTTAAAGATGTTCTTCTGTCTCACTTCCTTAAGCAGCATCGCGTGAAGGCGGCGCGTGTCGGACCTGGCTGACAGCGGAGTGGAAAGAGCGTGTTATCGCTCTCAGTGCCATCGGCTGCAAGGGCAGGCGGGAGGGAAAATTAATGGTCAAAATCTTGCTTTTATCACCGCTTGGAGCAGCACTTGTCTTGCTGACATCTCCAGATAGAGTCTGTAATATTGACCTTGGTGCTCCATAACTATATAGGAGAGAATAAATTCTCTTTTTTTTTCCCTTCCTTCCTGCGCTTCTTCCTTTCTTCCTCACTCTGGTACTGGGTTACTGCCCTAAGTATTGCACCTACCTTCCCTTTAGCAGGTATATTTTTCTGAAATGTGGGTACTGTGAAGGAATGCTAACAATCTGAGTAGCTGCAGATGCCATACATTTACCAGGTCAGACAGTCAGCTGCCATCAGGGTTTTGCTGCTGGTTGCACTGGGCCAGGGTGAGCTGAAAGCTCGGTGGCTTGAGTTTGAATTTCTGACGTGACTTTTTTGCCCCAGTCCAGACAAACCTCCAGCTGGGGCTGCGTGGTGATGCTGGAGCAGCCGTGCTCCCCCTTCTTATCTCTGCCAGCCATTCTCTGGGCATGGCGGGTTGCTTTGTTGGTCCTGCCCTGGCTGTGACAGCCTGGAGGTTGTGAAATGCGAGGTTGCTCTCAGCTGGGCTGTCCAGAAGGGGAGCAGGGATGAGGACGGTGATGGTTCATGCCATGGCTGCACGGGGCACTGTCTCCCATTCCTGTCTTTGTTTTGCAGTGCCTGTATGTCCCTAAGCATTCGTCATCGTCTTTCTCTGTATTGCAGCCTAAGACAAGGGTATTACATTTAGAGCTCATGGGGCATTGTGAGCACAAATCAGCAAGTGGCTATTTTGTACCTGAGATTTGTAGAAGTAAGGGAAGCCAGGCTGCACACATACTGAAATGTATGAGTAAGGCATCGGATATTTTGCTCACTGTATGTTTTTTTGTTTTGATTTGTTTTGTTTTAATTATTTTCTGTCACTAAACTGTAAGGATCCCAAGCCTGTGAAGGCAGTAGCACTTCTCCAAGAGCATTGTGTTCGCAGCAGGCTGCAGCTGGGATCTCCCCTCGCCAGCAGGGAGCAGGTGACAGGATTAGACCACAGTGCTTGAAGTCATTCTTCTCTGACGTGCGTAGCATGCTCTCTGCAAATGGAGTTGTGTGTTCACAGCCCATATAAGTAAATACGCCAGAGCTCTCCCCACCTAATAGCATTCATTTCCAGTTTTCTGTCTTATTCACCCACATACACATTCATCTCCAATCACCTAATAATTCATAAACACCATATTCTCCCCTGTGCTTAATTTAGTGCTATATCTTCTTCCATTATGTTCTGCCAACTTCCCACCCTGTACATAAACAAATGTGAACTTTTCCTGTTTTCGGTTTGCTTACATGTATACACAAGCATACACAAACACTCCCACACACTAAAACACGCTCGCAGAGACACACTTTCTGCTGTGAGCTGAATGCCTGTCCATCACCTGTTGGTGGAAATCATACGCAAAGTCAGAATTCGAAAACTTCTGCAAGTGTTTGACACTTGCGCATGTCATCGCAGTACATCGGAAAGCACTGTTGGTTTGTTTATTTTGTAGCTGTTATAGCTGCCTGAACTGTTCATTTGTATGAAGTCTTTTCTAAGAATTGAACGTTTTTGTGGTTAGCAGATATTCAGTGGCAAAATCTAAATTTTTGCAAATTTAGTTGTTAATCTTAAATATTTTATGGTTTTTAGAAAGAACTTGAGAAATAACCATCCTTTAATAATCAAAGCTTGCCTCTAATTGCACTTTATCGGTATATATCAGAAGCTTCCCATCTTAATCAGTGGTTTTATCCAGGAGGGAAATCTAGAGGAAGCCCCCAGTATTATGCATCAGTGTGTGTTTGGCCGCTGAAGTTAGTTCATGTCATTTCTTTTTCTGGTTGGCTCTTAGGACCATTTTATTCAGGATATTACTAGGGTGGAAGATTGAGAATTTTCACTTTAATTAAATAAACACTTATACTAATATCTAGGTGGATATCTCCCCGATCTGTAGAGCAACTAAGATCTTGCTGGTGCTGCCTGAATTCTCTCAAGTTTACCTAATAGGCACTACAGGCTACTGCTGACAGGAGTCGGGTGAAGAAGCAATAAGAAAACACTTGTGAGGTGGTTTTGTTCCACTGCATTTTATCCCCAATTTAAAGTGCGGTAACAAAGAATTGCATCCCTGTGTTGTAAGCACACAGAACAGCATTGTTGAAAAATGTAGTGTGTAGTACTGGAGCTTAAGTCATGCTCGTTAATTTAATGAATGTTGTAAGGAGGTAGTTATTTCGCGAACTTGAGTATTTCGGTAACTACAGTCCATTGATACCTACTTCAGCGGCTTGTTGCTCTGTGTAGCAGATATATCTCTTCGTAGTACACACTTCATTAATACACACTTCTGCCCAAGCTCCTGTGACAGAAAGACATCTATATTGCTCTCGGTAATTGGGGCAACACGAGCGCAGTGAGTAGAGGCCTGGCATGGGTTAGGAGGGAGCCGGGCTGCGGTGTGGGCTCTGCCAGCAGCCTGATGGATGACTTCAGGCAAATCGTGTTGCCTTCCCTGCTCCGTGGCTTTACAAATCAGCACAATGAGGCTGATAGTAATGAGGTTCTTTGTGGAACGTTTTGAGTTCTGATAAAGTCAAAGACATTGTTCAAGCTAAACTATTATATTAGGCTTTTATTATTTTTGTATTACACATAAAATCACTTCTCATTTACTGATGCACGGGATTTAAGCGATTAAGGTTTTGCATAAATACATAGCAGTTTGATAATTCTTTATGTGAATGTTTAGATGGCAATGCCATGATCTGGTACCATGGTTCAGATCCTATATTTGCGCTGTCCTGGAGATGAAGAAATCCTTTTAAACTCTACTGTTCTAATACCCTCACAAAGTAGATAACACATTTATCTGTCACTGAAACAGCCCTGGTCCAATTCTGTCTTAAATCAAAAGGTAAATTCCCACTAGCCCCACCTGAGGTTGGACTGAGCGTGGGGCTGGTGAGGAAGTAATTAATGTTTGCAGAGTATCTGGAGTTCCTTGAGCAGCACCGACTTGCAGGTGATGCCATCCCTGCTGTGGAGGGACAGGAGCAGCAGTGCCCCGAGGCCGAGCACACAAAGCCTGGGGCTGGTTTCTGAGGCTGCTGCTGCCGGTCTGTAACTCTGGCACCACACCACTCGGCGCTGCACAAGGCCGGGCCTAGGCACCAGCGCCCCAGCTTGCATGGTTGTCATCAACAAGTAGTTATACGTCAAATAGCCAAGAGTTGCACCTGTTTGTGCTCAGAGCTGGGCCTAAATCAAGCATGGACATACAGGGTGCTGACGGTGCTCACAGCAAAGAGGCACCCCAACAAAAACTGTTCCCATCAAAATGAGGTAGGAATGTGCTGAGGGCCTGACCAATCTAAGACTTGTTTTTTTGGTGGCCAGCCCCCATTTCAGTAGCTCCTTCTCCACCCTTTGTTACTGCCTTTGATGTACAATCACTTAGTGTTTCCCCTTGTGTTGCAGGGAACTGAGCGACGGGACCACGTACACGTACCAGGTCGTCATTGTTTCCGGGGCAGAGGAGAGCGAGCCTTCCCCCGCGCTTGTGTATATCTCTGGAAGTGGATACTGCGGAGACGGGATTATCCAAACGTAAGTCTAGAGCGAGCAAACAGATAAATCTGAGCACATCTACTCAGCCAGGATCTGAGACTAGAAAGGAAGTGATGACCTCTGATGTCTCCTTAGCTTAGGCCGGCTCTCATCTGTAGATAATGACTCATGTGCTTGATGATTACCAGGATGATGACATTTAATTGGAACTTAGGCCCTGCTATCCTGGCACCAGTAGATACAGACAGAGATACAGATAATGGAGTCCAGACAGCAGGATCGATATGAAAGTATGCTATATGCTGTTTATGCTGTTTGTGTATGCATATTGCATATATATATACATTTGTATGATATTTCCTATGTAGAGCATTGCTAGAAAAATTCACACTGTCTTTGGCGCTGTTGTTACACATGAAGCCCCATGTACCTGGCAGCTGGTGGGCAGGGTAAAACCCCTGCTATCTGGCCGGCCGGGTTCCTGATACATCCTCTTGTTCGACCGATCACTGGAGCTGGGATGCATTTGGAAGTGATAGACTTGGCCTTAGAGAGAGAGCGCTGGGAATTGCGTGTGCTCGGTCAGCCCCTCCCTCTCACCAGCTGCCAATCCCCAGACCACTGAAAAATGTACAACAATCATTCACAACTATGTTAGGGTTTATTCTTTTACTATGTTGGACCTTAAGGCCACCTGCTTCAAAGCTTCCTGGCATTAGATAATTTAATTATTTACATGATGGAAGTAACAACAAGCAAGTGCTTAATCCAGACAGTATTATTTTCTTAAATAATGCTGATCAGCAATCACACAACACAACTCTGTCAGATGATACACCTGGCAGCAAGTATTTGCAGGATGAGGCCCAACAGGCAGGGAAATCAAAGAGAACAATCAAACAACATATAAATCCAGGGCAGTCTTGGAGAGAGAGGTGGAGAAAGACAGATTAATTTTGCTTTCCATAACTTTTCTCCTACTGTTATGTTTGCACATTCCTAAAACATCACTTGTGGCTTTGCAGCAAGCGTCGAACAATAGCTGAGCTGCCTCAGGAGCGAGCAGGAACCAGACTGTGTCACAGCTTGGTTGGTTGTGGCCCCACTTGCAGCTGTGGCAGCCCCTTTCTCATCTGGTTCGCACTCTTCTCCCCGCGTGCCTCTGCAACAGTGTGGTCTGGAGTAAGGCAGGACCCCATCCCCAACACCACCCTGCTGACTACTCCCCTCTGAGTGCTGTCACCTGGAATAGCCCAGCACTGGGCTTCATACCTTGTTATTCCTGTGCTGGGGTCACAGGCTGGCCTTTCCAGATTTAATACAAAGGGTTTCAGAGATTACTGTTCTCTTTCTCCCCACCTGCTGAGTTGCAGCCGCACTAGCTATGAAGGAAGTTGCTCATATCCTCATCAGAGAACAGCAAGTGGTATCCACATGTGCAGGAGAGAAGTGGCCAGGCAAAGGCAAGCTTGTGAACCAGGAATGATGAAAGTCAGGGCTGGAGGAGGAAGGGAGAGGAGTTTTCAGGGTTGGCTCATAACGCTGCTGTACTGGATTTCAAGGCTTTGGGGTTCTGCAGAGGGGTTACAGCGATCATCGGGATGATGCCATTTGCCATCTGACTCCTTTTTGCTCGTTTGTGCCCTGCCTGCAGAGACCTGGGGGAAGAATGTGATGACATGAATAAGATCAACGGTGATGGCTGCTCCCTATTCTGCCTGCAGGAGTTATCCTTTAATTGCATCGGTAAGTCTGTCTCGGAGCCTTTCCACTCACGGTGGGCAACAGCTCTACGCAAAATGCAAGGAAAAATCAACAAGCATTTTCAGCATTTCCAGATGAAGAGTTGTCATGGAAGAGGGAAAAAAGGTGGAATTTGTAGGTCTGAAAGGCGAACATATCTTCCCAGCTTCTGGTCATTTTGATGGGAAATTGGTTCTGCTGGCTTTGAAACAGCCTCGGACTTAAGGCTAAGTCAGCCATTGTGGGACTGATCCAAAGCCCATTGAAGTCAGTGGGTGGCTTTCCACTGGTTTCAATAGGCTTTAGATCTGGCTACGTGAGAAGACATGAACTGATTTTTTTCTGGTAAACAGGAGGAGGAGTGAAAGGGGAAGGGACTGAGACCAGAAGCAAGTCCAGCTGAGGTCACACCTCCTTTGAGTTGCAAATCAATATCTGAGGATCAAAGGTCTGGCTAATCCCCTTTTTGAGAGGTGAAAACTACTTAATCAGATTTCATTTGCAAGCCTGGTTTGCTCTGATTAGCAAAACCTGTAAGCACAATGGCCGGAAGATGCTCGAGCTATCTGGGATAGCAGGGCTGCAGTTGTGAGCTTTACATATTTATTAAACTCTCTAGGAATGCTGGGGGCAGAGAAGGGAAAAGACCAATTTATGTAGCACCTTGTGTGGGGCAGTTTTGAGTTTTGGGATTGCATTTCCCAAACTGGACTCAGCAAGGCCTGGAGAAGGATGAAGCACGCAAACCTTCTAAAACCAAAGTTAATGTTTATGAAGGGTTAGCCTTTTCCCAAGAGGTTTAACAGATTCCTTATCTAGATCAACCAAGCAAATACTCTAGATGGGACAGACAGTGATCCCATGCCTGCAGCTCAGGGCATTGGTCCTAAACAAAATAATACAATGTTGGCAAGACGGAAATTTGCTCTTTTTGGCAATCTGATGATTATCTCTTGTGGCTGGAGCAACATATAAAGGATCTCACAGGCAACACGTTTCCCTTGGGTGGTAAGCTGGGGACTGCTTGTCTCAACTACTACATTTTTACTTCAGCAGCCCACGCAGTGAGACTTGAGGCCTGATTTGGTGATGTACTTATTTCCATATGTAAATCACTCTATTGAAATTTGAGAATATTTACGGTCAAGGCTAATTGTGACAATTGGTGGTCTTGAAGTCACGTTTGTGTTTCAAGTAACTTGCTGAATTAGACCTCAAACACTGAAAGAAATTAGTCATAATATTTTGAAAGTGAAATAAACACTAAAGCAAATGTTTTGGATTCTCCAAAAGCCAGGCGTAGTCCAAGGCTGGTTGTGGCAAGGATTTGAGTTGTAGTTGTACAGCTGCATGTGTCTCACCCTGCTCAGCAGCAGGCCTGAGTTGCCTGGTCCAGGTTGGTGCTTTGGCCACATCCCAGCTTTACGTTAGGACATCAGCCAGGTCCTCCCCTGTACTCACTGGTTCTCAGGGAAACCAGGCTGGGTGGGCTGGGCAGGAGCTGATCATGTTCCCAGCATGTCCCTACACTGGAGTCCTAACCCTTGGAGCACACGGCAGTGTTGTGACAGGTGAGTGCAGGACCCTGTGTGCGTGTTCATCTCCAGTACCAGGTGCAGATCTGGTTGTGAGTATGGAAAAAACCTGTCTGACAGCAATGTGACTAAAATATGAGTAATTGCCGTATAAACTCAGGTAATTCTATGTCATCACAGAGGGAAAGTTTTTTTCAGGTTTGCTTCTGTTGAAAAGGAAAGGGGAATCTAGGGGTAACAAGTTGTTTGGGTTTGATGAGCTTCAGGAGGCTGTGGTTTTGCACAGGTCCTGCATTACAAAAGTGAATGAAATCCAATTGGTTGTTTGTGAAATCCCCAAAGTGAGGATTTCTGTCGGTGAATCAAATTAACTAAATCAGTGGCAAGGTGCATGGGCCCAGTCTTCAAAAATGTTTCATTGTATGACTGTACAACTGTGGTAGTGTGACTGTTGTGGTGGTGATGGCCTCCGTGTGCTGGCAGGTCTGTGGGAGCAGACCGGCTGCTGTTGTGTTGGGAGGTGTTGCCTTCACCAAATCCCTGGGAAAGGTGCAGGCAGAGAAGGAAATACGTGTGAGACAGGCCCTATTGGACTCTATGGGTGCTGGACTGTCTTGAATTAGGACAGTAAAAAATAGAGAGAAACTGCTGCTGAATCTTTTGGGCAAATGAAGAGCACAGCTTTTTATTCTGTTTTAACATAACAAGCATTAAAGACTTGTGAAAAAGCATAAAAGTAATGGGGAAGTGAGTGACAGGACTTATTACATAATAATAATAAAGAACAGAAATTCATCATTCTCCATAATCTAATAATATTAGTCTGGGTCCTCTGTCTTTAGCCAAACAAAAGCCTTCATTGAGACTGGTGGGATGTTTTCTTGGAAAATACAGAATGGTTGGGCCCCTGTTTGAGGAGGAGACAAAAATAAGTGTAATATATTTCCATGTTTATGAGGCTGACATATGTTATAATCCTGTAGGACAACAAGTAATTATTTCAGACAGTGTTATTTTTGCAGTGATGTTGTAGTTGTACTATGTAGCCTTTTAGGGCCCCAGGAATCACTCCTCTTCACCAAAGAATTCAGCGAGCCTCAAACACATGTTCAGAGGCTTTGCTGAATTGGGGCCTCAGGGTTTGATCTTGCAAATGTTTCCTTCCAGGCTTGTTTCTGAACTACCACAAGGCATTCTTTAGACTTCAGCAAATCTAACCACAATAGTGAATGCAATGCTTGTCACAAATTGTCTGCAGGATGGGGTCCCACATGGCAGAAAATAATCGCTAAACTTCTGGGTTGCAAAGGCAGGACCGAAGGGGCGTCACCAAGGTCCCGTAGCAGGAGGTTTGATAGCAAAGTCCGAGTGGGTTTCTCACATCCACAGCAGAGACCTCACGTCACCTCCTTTGATAGAAGAGAAATACAACAGAACAAGCAATCACCATAAAGCTTTACATTTAGAGCCATGAATCAGAGAATAATTTCGGCTGGAAGGAGTCTCTGGAGGTCTCCGGTCCAAGCAGGGCTAACTTCAAAGCTAGATCCAGCTTCAAAGTTGGAGCACATCGCTCAGGCTCATGGCCAGCTGCGCTGGCTATCTCCAAGGATGGAGGCTGCCCGTTTGCAGGTGTCCTTCTGTCTCTCTTGCTCTGTCTGCCTTTTAGGATCATGAGGTTTATGTGCTTTTTTTTTATTGGTCCAACTTTCCATTGAATAAATGGCAGAAGGCTCTCAAGACACTTTGTGCTAGTGCCTGTAATAAAATTAGACTTTTTTTTTCCTTGGTTTTGTTTTCCCTCCTCCTTTCCTCTCTAATCAGATAACAGGGGATCAATCTGCTCTGCCACGGGAGGAGGGGCGCGGGGGAAGGAAGGAGGGAGGCAGGGAAGAAAACTGTGTGGTCTTTACTGTCAGGCTGTCCTGGCCTTCTCTGAACACAAAGCCGAGTAAAAGAAAACAGATAAGATTAATAGCGTTTTCTTCCTGCAACATGCTGAAGAGCGACAGTGAGATTAATTAATTAATTAATGAAAGCATCTGGCAGGGCTCCTTTTTTTTTTTTTTTTTTTTCTTTTAAGTCCTGTGGTACACTCACCCTTCCCATCCTGAAATTTATCATCTATACTTTTTTTTTTTCCCCTTGCTTAGCAGATTTTGCATATTTTATCTCCTCTGCCCAGAACTGGGTCCCACGGGGAAGTCTCACTTTGCCTTTTGATTCGTAGGAGAGCAGCGAGTCAGAGTCTTGTCCGCTGTGACGGATGCGCCCCTCTCCTACCTCTTGGCTGCTTTCCTTTCACCTTGTTCTTATTCACTGCTGGGACACCTGATTTTTGTGATTAGTGAGGATCCCAGCCAAGTTCAAGACAATGAATCCCATGTAAAACGGGCCCCGGTCACAAGAGTTATGATTTGCAGTTGTGTGAACCCAGAGCTTTTTAGCACTTGATCTGTTCCCGGCGGACTGTTGAGAAATGGGTGTCTAACAAGCAGCTGAGCACCTTGTCCTTGGTATGCACTCTCCCACACACAAACACCGTACACATGCACCCAGATATATGTGCGGACATTGAAAAAGAGCTCTGCTTTCATTTGCATTCCTTTTGTTGAGTGTGATGTGCATTATGCATTGATTTAGCTCTCCAGTGCTGAAGAAAGAGAAGGATATAATAGAAAAGATGCAGAGATCAATGTAAAAGAAGGGAGGGGGGGAGAGATTAATATGAAAAGAGATGAGTAAAGACTGATAGACGCATTGAAACCCGGCTGGAAAGTAGCTGCAGAACTTCTATCTCGCCTTAAGTTTGCCTGGTAATTTATGGGGTTTGCAGTCACATCTTATTGGTGTTGTTATTGCCGTACTTTATCTCCTTTGCTTATGAGGGACTCCTCACGAAAGGCTTTGTGCAGCCAGGCAGGGCAGCACTGCCTCTGCCTTCGACGTGTGAGCAGTCGCGCTGAGGAAGGCGAGCTTTCCAGCGAGGCACATGTTTCCGTGGGTTGTTGGACGGGGGCCTCTGGGATGTGAAACACAAAATAAAGGCACAGGGCAGAGGAAAACAGAAAATAAACATATCTAACTCTTGAATTTACCACCGATTTCTGGCATGCTCGCAGCATTAGTCACCAGTGGTTGTTCAGAGAGAAGTATGATTTTAATTTGACAACGCTCTGTTAGCACCTTTTCTTTTGCTTCTGCTTGGCCCCAAATGTTTTTCTGCTACCTTACAAATCTGGATCTGTCGTTCTCCTCCTCAGAGGCCTCTCCCTCCAGCTGTGAGCCTTACCTTTGTGGGAGCTCTATCCTTTACCTCTCCCATTATCCATAAATTAAGCATAGCACTTTCCCCTAATCTTATTGTTTGGAGGGCTGCATTGCATTCAGGGAAATGATTAATATTCATGAGCTTGCTATCTCTGTTTGGTGCATAATCCTCTGGGGAAATTGCAGTGTTAAATGAGT